AAAAAAATTGTTACTTATAGATCTCGACGTACTGAATCCAATAATATAGCGTGTTTATGGTCATGGACCAATATTTTCGAAAAATTCGGTTCTAAGATCAAGATTTTTAAAAATTCCTAAACTTTTGACATTTCAATGGACAATTCTAGAAAAATGATTGGAGTTAACGAAGAAAGGACTCCAAAAATGACTTGTATAAACTAAAATCTACAAGGAAATGTATTTAGTTAAATTTGAAAAACAGGGGAATATTGAAAAATGTTACTTTTGAAAAAGTTGTCTAAAAATGCATAAGAAAATTGTTACTTATAGATCTTGACGTGCTGAATCCAAAAATATAGGGTGTTTATGGTCACGGAGCAATATGTTCGAAAAATTCGGTTTTAAATTCAAAATTTTTAAAAATTCCAAAAATTTTGATATTTCAATGGACAATTCTACAAAATTGATTGAAGTTAACGAAGAGAGGAATGCGGAAATGACTTATATAGTCTAAAATCTACAAGAAAATGTATTTAGTTAAGTTTCGAAAATGGGTCGAAATGTGAAGAAGTGGGAATGAAAGATAACATTTTTCAGAAAGTTGTCTAAAATTTCACAAAAATTCTGGGATATAGATTTGTACGTGGCGAAATCAAGAATGTCGCGTGTTTATGGGATAAAACAATATTTTCGAAGTATGAGTGGTCTAACATAAAAATGTACAGTCTTCAATTTTAGCGAAATTTAGTTTAAACATCAATAAATAATTAATGGAGAGAATTTAAATCTTTTGGTATTTTACTTGTCATAATCATTGCGGTTGGGATTTTTGTGGGTTCATGGTTACTAGAAGAAGAGAAAGATGGCGAACCAGCCTACGCGTATTTCGTGCGCTCTGTGCAATACTAACATTGACGATGTAAAAACAGTGATTACATGTACCATCTGCAGTAAGAACTTCCACTCTCGCTGTGTAAATGTTGACCTTCGAGGTTTCCACATGAAGAAAAATTGGGTATGCGGAAGACCCCTATGTATTAAACCGACGCCGCAGTTGAAGACTACAACTGGAGAGATAGAAACCGAGACTTTTTGGGACGAAAATATTTTGGATGCTAAAGTGTTCCAATATATCTTGAAGCAAAAAGACGAGTTGATTCATGAATGAAAGGGTAAAATCCATCTATTAGAAAAGCATGTCGAACTACTGCATGAAAAAGCTGGTGAGAAAAGTTTGGGTAAAAAATCCGATCAGAAGACTTGCCAAGAGTACAACCGCTGCCGATCTGAAAGGATACTTGGTGGAAGACTTCTCAGAAGTTGTCTGTGAACCTCTGGAGAACTATGAAGCGTCTCACTCAAGATTCAAGGTTACTGTTAATTTTGATAATCTTGAAAAGATCTACAATCCGGATTACTGGCCAAATGGAGTCCTAATCTCAAGGTTTTTTCATCCCAGAAGTCCAAAAATTCAACAGAAATAACATCAGGCCAGCATTACAAGACGGATCTGCCTAAAACCAGCCTTGAAAACTCTCGCGATGACAACATGTTTCGAAGCATTACCTTAAAAATTGCTAACCATAATATTCAAAGTCTGGGGAACAAAGCTGTACGCCTAGAGTATCATCATCAAAGTACCGATGTATTAGTCATAACAGAACATTGGATGGACGAGCAAAGAATCTTAAATTTCAAATTGGGTAATTTTTTGTTAGGTAGTTATTTCTGTATCAGTAGATCATGGAGGAGTAGGTATATTTGTTCGTGAAAAAATTGTTAAATGTAAGGAACTTATGTTTGTGAAAAATATTTCGGTTATCAATGTGATAGAGTGTTGTGCCGTAGAAATTCCAAATTATCATTTAATCATTGTGGGTATTTACAGACCTCCTGGAACTAACCTTCAGAATTTAAACATCTTTTTTGATAGAATAAGTTGGATACTGTCACACCTCTCTAAATATAAAGACAGACATATAGTAATCACTGGTGATTTTAATATTCATTTCAATGATAGCAATAACAAGGAAACAAAAAAAATACATGATATCTTAACTGTGTACAATATGACGCCCCTGTCTACTGCACCGACAAGAATGACCCCCTCCAGTAGTTCATGTCTGGATAACATCTGTGTGAGTATTCAGGATGTCCATAATTGTCACTTTTCAGTACTTAACGACTTCGTATCTGACATTCTGGTCAAATGTTGCTACTTCACATTGATGAAAATATATCAAAAGCCAAAGTGGACCTCACTCAAAGGCGGTTTTTCTCTAACGACAATATTACTTATTTTCGTAAACTTTTATCAACTCAAAAGTGGGATACTGTCTTAAAGGAAGAGGATGTGAATGTAAGTTTCAATCTGTTATGCAATATTTTAAGCAATGAATTTTCAACTGCTTTTCCTTTAAAAACTATCAAATCTAATTCAATTAAAAATAAACAAGATCTGTGGGTGACGGATGAAATAATTAGAATGAAAAATCGTGTGGCACTATATGCAAATCTATCCATGAAGTATCCTACATTTAAACCGATTTTTTCATTGCTTAACAGTCAATATCAAGATATGTTAGTAGCAAGGAGGAAGGCCTATAATGATAATCTGATTATGACTGCAAACAATAAAAGCAAGGCCACTTGGAGAATTATAAATAAAATACCGAATAAAAGTTTTAAGGACTCTAATATTGAAATTTTTGAAAATGGTGTGACTTGTTCTGTGTGCCGAAAAACTTAATAATCTCTTTGCTAGTGTGGCGCACAACTGTACTGCCAATTTACCGAATACCATAGATATTGACTTTGTCAGAAGCAGCATTCCTCCAAATTTACATGTTTTTTTTTTACACCAGTAACGAATAGTGATGTTGGTAGTGCAATAAATAAATTGAAATCTTCAATGTCAGCCGGTGAAGATGGCATCTGCAATAATTTATTGAAGGCGGTGTCGGAATTTATAACTACCCCATTAACTTATATTTTTACCTTGTCCTTAAAGGGCATCTATCCTGATTCGTTAAAGAATGCTCTAATTATTCCTCTTTTTAAGAAGGGTGACCGTAATGCAGTGGAAAACTATCGCCCTATCAGTCTCCTGCCATGCATTGGCAAAATTCTTGAAATCATTGTAAATGATAGACTCACAGGCTTTTTAGAAAAATATAATCTCTTGCACAATTGCCAGCATGGATTCAGAAAAAGCTTTAGTACTGACACTGCACTCAGCCAATTCATTCACAACATTCAGTTATCACTTGATAGAAATTTAACAACCAGGGGTTTGTATGTGGATTTCACTAAAGCCTTCGATTGTGTGAACCATCAAATACTAATTGAAAAACTTCATAGATATGGAATTCGTGGGGTTGCTCTAGATTGGTTTACCTCTTACTTATCCAATCGTTCGCAAAAAGTGCAGTTACATAATGCCACCTTCTCCTCGTTAAGAAGTGTAGATTGCGGAGTGCCTCAAGGGTCGATCCTAGGGCCTACTTTGTTTATTATCTATGCTAATGACGTTCATTTGTATTTACAAAAGTTTCCTAATGTTTTGCAAATCTATTATGCTGATGATTCAAATTTTTTGATAACTGGTAACAGTCTACAAGAAGTTGCTTCTATTTCAACCGGACTATTGCAAAGCATAACTTTATGGTGTAACAAAAATAGGCTTGTGATTAATAATGACAAAAGAACGCACATGTTATTTCGGAAAAGGTATAGTAGTTTTGAAAACTCTCTTAATATCTCATTATCTAATTCTAGTAAACTACTGGGAGTTGTAGTTGACAACACATTGTCGTGGACGTCACATATTGACTATATTTGTGGTAAACTAACGAAGGTTTGTTATATGCTTAAAAGTGCTTCGCATCACTGTAGTACGGATATCCTGATAACTCTATACTTTGGTCACTTCCACTCGATACTTGCCTATGACATTGAGAATTGGTACAAATCATCTCAATTTGAAATTAATCGGGTGTTTAAAATACAAAAATTGGCAATCCGTACCATCGCAGGTCTGAAAAGATTGGATTCTTGCAGACCATTCTTTAAGATTTACAATATTCTTACTGTTGCTAATATTTACATATGCAAGGTATTATGTTTTGCCTTTAAATATAGAGGAAAATTTCAAACCTGTGGTGCTACTCATACATATTTTACCAGAAACAGGGAATGTCTTCTACCCGAGAAACATGTTACGTCAAAATACCAAAGAAGTTTATTCTTTAATTCGTGTAAACTTTATAATAACCTGCCGAAAGATATAAAAAAATTGATAATTTTTTTACATTCAAGAAAACTATTAAACAATATTTATTAGAAAAAAAAATTGTTATGCTGTTAACGAATATTTTAATTGATATGTCTCTGTTTTTAATTTTTAATTTTTAATTTGTTTTGTACCTAATTATTTATGCAATGTAATCGATTACTTTGCTATGACGTGCAAAAATGTATACATGTTGTATATGTTTTTATGAAATATATTATTATTATTAATATTATTATATTATTACTAAGATTTGTAAAAGTACATTATACCTGGGGAGTGGTGTCCAAAGAGTCTGGATAGAGGAATAATTCACTCCTATATTCCACCAATTTCAATAATATTAGAAGGAATTTTTTTTGTGCATGTATTTGATAAACCCGCTGTATGTATATAAAAAAAAAATCAAAAGCTACATTAATGGGCTTAATGTTTGACAAATGATTGTCAAATATTGTTTGTACAGTCGGCGCGAAAATGGCCTCGACGTTTCTCTAACCTCGGCCGCCGTCTCCGTCCACGTCCGGCGCGCTTATCATCTCTCGTCAAATTTTTCGGTTCTTGCCCCTCCGTCTGCCTGCATCCCTCTCGCGAAAGCCTCCTCGGCTCGCTCCCTTCCGCCTTCCGCCTCTATTGATTTCTCATGACATCATGGGGTTGCCAAGAGACGCGGCGCCGGCGCCCCGCCGCCGCCGCGATCGACCCCTGGGCCTCCGTCGCAGTCCGGGCCGAGAGCAGCGTAACGATGTGCTAAGCCGCCGCCATGGGTACCGTGCTGAGTTTCTCTCCCCGCGAACGACGCCCCGTGTACACCACCAGCTCCACCGGCGACTTCACCCTCAACAACTTCTCCTACGAGCAGCTCAACAACGCGAAGAACCGCGACAAGAACACCACCAACTCCAACAACAACCTCAACATCAACAACAACGACAATGCGCGCATCATCTCCGAGAAGAACGCGCTAGAGAAGAACCTGAAGAAGCATTCGCTCTTCATCAATGCGCTGTCGTGGAAGCGGTTCTCCACCACGAACAACAATAAGAAGAAGCTCGACAACAAGAACAAGAATGCGGCGGCGTTCCGGCAGCCGCTGGACAACATCCACGTGGACAAGAACAAGAACATCCAGAACAAGCAGGGCTACTACTCGGGCTCGAAGAGCGCCTCGGCGTTGGCGTTGGACATCGTGAGGGTGAACAATGCGAACAACGCCAATCACCACGCCAACTGCGACAAGTTGACCAACAAGCCGCTGCTGCTCCAGCAGAACTCGGTCAACTCGCAGAACCAGGTCGTGCCGGTGGCGGCGCCCAAGAAGACTGTCATCCAGGCTTCCACTTCGGAGTTGCTGAAATGTCTAGGCATGTATCTGCACACCAAGTGCTACAAGCTGAGGGATTTCCAGGCGGGGGACGCCGTCATGTGGCTGAGGACGGTGGACAGGAGCCTGCTGCTGCAGGGATGGCAGGTCAGTACGCAGAGGAAGGTTTGTTTGGACGTGGTGCGTTACGGTGCGTTTGCTTAGGTTACGGTATGTTGCGATTTGGGGTGGGGGGAGGGGAACGGCTTCTGGTTTGTTGTGGCGAGGAGTAACGCACCCGATTTGTGGCTTTGTAGCCAAAATTCGGTTTTTTTACTCAGTTGGGGTTACAGAACGATCTAGTTTTCGTTTTATTCTTTGGAATACAGGGTTGATGTTGTAATGATTAGTTGTCTCTGGTTTTCCTCTTTTCTCCTTGGTTTAGATTTGATGGTCACTTTTAGGATGCCCTCTGGAGATTTCTCCATAAACCGATTCTGGCCTATATGTGGCTATATATAGTATAGGACATTTATTGACACCTACACAACACTGAAAATTTTATTTGATTATTATGTCGAATAATGTTCCTCAGAACGTCTCTGTAGAATCAAGGGGGATTTATTATTCATTTTCTTAAGATATACCGGGTGTTTCTTTTATTTGATACAACCCCTGTAAATTTTTTATTTTTAAAGATAAATCTGTAGTTCTTTGAGCAAATTTGTATCATTTTAAAAGATCTAGCGATGGCAACAATTTTTCTATTGTTTTTCAAGCAACTAGATTTTGAAATAAACGGAAAATTTTGGAGATATTTTACTAAATAACTTTTTTATTATTGATTTTAGAATATCAGTTGCTTTTGATTTTTTGTAGTGAAAAAATCAATCTTTCCATTTATGAAAAAATATACCTAGTGTTCCATTAAAAAAAAAATAAGTTGACGTCATTTCCGGTTCTACCGCCAGTGATAATAAAAATGTGTGTTTACCATCATATAAATCTTTGAGAATGATACAAATTTGGTTAAAGAACTACGGGTTTATCTTCAAGAATAAAAAAGTTACAGGGGTTGTATCAAATAAAAGAAACACCCTGTATAGTTGTATTCTATTGCGAACAGAAAACCCTTCCTTTTTATGTCGTAGATTATCATAATTATGTCTCTAGAAACATCAAGATATATACAAACCGCGACATTTAAGTTTACACTTTTAGACCACAACAAATGCTCAGTTATACATCACTGACTATTTTTTTTAACTTTCCGAGCATAAGCTAAAGAAATGTTGTAATCGAGCCCATCTGGCAACTGGCTACTTTTATGTTTTTTCGAGGTTCTTAAACCCTCGGTCTCCGTCTGTCTGTCTGCTGTGTGTTCGGTTTTCTATTAGACAGATAATCACTACTGGAGTGATCGTTGTCAAATTTTATATGTGCTTTCTAAAACGCTAACTAAAATGTCTGATCATTCTCACCAACAACAGGATGACGTCTTCCCCAAAATTTACATTAGTAAAATGTTATTTAAATTTTAGAAAATAAGATACTCCTGCACTTGTGCTTTATGAATTCGTGTCAAATTTTTATCCTAGACATAGAGATTATCGTGTTTTTTCAGTTTTTTGGTTTTAAAATTTTTCGACTTTTCGATTTCTCGCCTTCTCGATTCTCAACTATTTTAAATTTCAGTTTTGTGATTTTCAAGTTTTTTTCATTTTTAAATTTTTTGATTTTTCAATTCGTTGATTTTCTATTTTTTCAATTTCTCGATTTTCAATGTTTTGACAATCCACTTTTAGGATTTTTCGGTTTTTCCATTCTTCAATTTCTTGATTTTTCAAATTTTCGATCCAGATTTTTTATTTTTCGATTTTCCAATTTTTGGATTCTTCAATATTTTGATTTTTGTCATTTTAAAATTTTTGATCTTTCGATTTTTTGATTTTTCGATTTTTCGATTTCTCGATGTTTTGACCTCTGGATTTTCGTCTTTTAGATTTTCCGATTTTTCGATATTTTGATTTTCTCATTTCTCGATTTCTCAATTTTTTGACATTGCACTTTTAGGACTTTTATTTTTCGATTCTTCAATTTCCTGATTTTTCCAATTTTCGATATCTGGATTTTTTATTTTTCAATTTCTCAATTTTCAGATATTTCAGTGTTACCACTTTTCAATTTTCCGATCCTTCAATATTTCAATTTTTGACATTTTTTGTTGTAGATATTTCGATTTTTTGATTTTTCGACTTCTCGACTTTCGTTTTTTATATTTTCAGATTTTTCAATAATTTGATTTTCTCATTTCACGATTTCTTAATTTTTCGACATTTAATTCCTTGATTTAGCAAATTTTCAATATCTCTATTTTTTAATTTTTCGATTCCTCGATTTTCCGATACTTCAGTTTTACGATTTCTCAATTTTTGATTCTTCAATATTTCAATTTTTGACATCTTTAAATTTTAGATCTTCTGATTTTCCAATTTTTTTATATTTTCCCCCGTAATTGGGCCACCGGCCTGTAGGGAAACGTAATTCAATAAAAAAAAAAATAAAAAAAATGTTTCAATTTTCCGACTTTTCAATTTTTCAAAATCTTAGTTTTTCGATGTTCCAGTTTTGGGATTTTTTAGTTTTTCAGTTTTTGAATTTTTTTCGTTTTTTAAATTTTTCGATTTATCGATTGATCAATTTTTCGATTTGGAATTTTTCAGTGTTTCGATTCTTCAATTTACTCATATTTTAATTTTTTGATTTCTTAAATTTTAGATTTTTTAATTTCCAGATTTCTCGTTTTTTGATTTTTCACATTTTCGATTTTTCATTTTTATCAATTTTTCGATTTCTGGATTTCTCGGGATTTCCATGTTTCGATTGTTCGATTTTTCAATTTTTTTTATTCTTCAATTTTTCAATTTTGAGCTATTTTGGTTTCTGGCTTTTTATCGATTTTTCAATTTTTCTACTTCTCGACTTGCGATTTTTCGATTTCTTAATTTTTTGATATTTCGTTTATTTCTAGATGTTTCAATTTTTCGATGTTTTGATTTCTCGATTTCTGGGTTAGATTTTTCGATTTTTCCTTTTTTCAAATTTTTAATTTTAGAATTTTCGATTTTTCGCCTTCTCGAATGTCGTCTTTTAGATTTTCTGATTTTTCGATATTTTGATTTTCTCATTTCTTGATTCTCGATTTTTCGATGTTTCGGTTTCACGACTTCCCTATTTTTCGATTTTCAGATATTCAGTTCTTATTTGGCTTTTCGTTTTTTCGAATTTTCAATTTTTCAAAATCTTAGTTTTTCGATGTTTCAGTTTTGGGAATTTTTGTTTCTTGAATTTTTAAAGATTTTTCAATTTTTCGATTTATCGATTGATCAATTTTTCGCTATTTGAGGTTTTGGACTTTTTTTTTGATTTCTTAAATTTTACATTTTTTGATTTCTGATTTCTCGGTTTTTGATTTTTCACTTTTTCGATTTTTTATTGTTATCAATTTTTCAATTTAACGATTTATCGAGATTTCCATGTTTCGATTGTTCGATTTTTCATTTTCTTTTTTAAATTTAAATGTTTCAATTTTCAAATTTTAATTTTTCGATTTTTCGATTTTGGGTTATTTCAATTTCTAGGTTTTTAGATTTCTCGATTTTTCAATTTTTTGACTTTTCGATTTTCGATTTCTCGGTTTCTTGATCTTTTGATATTTCGATTTCTATATGTTAAAATTTTTCGATGTTTTGATTTTAAGATTTCTTGGTTTATTGATTTTCTGAATTTTCTATTTTTCAAATTTTCAATTTTCTATTTTCGACTTTCGTCTTTTAGATATTCCGATTTTTCGATATTTCATTTTTCAATTTCTCAATTTTTCCATGTTTCGGTCGACTTCTCGATTGTCCGATTATCAGATTTTCAATTCTTTCTCGACTTTTCGTTGGGAATTTTCAAATTTTCGATTCTTCGGTTTACGGTTTTTCACTTTTCGATTTTAAATTTTTCGATTTTTCGATATTTCAATTTTTGATTTTTCGACAAATCGATTTCTCGATTTTTTGACATCTCGATTTTTCGATATTTTTTTTTCTGATTTCTTGGTATCCCAATTTTTCGATGTTGCGATTTTTCGAATTCTCGATTTTTCGATTTTCAGATTTTCAATTCTTTCTCGACTTTTCGTTTTCTCGAATTTTCATATTTTCAGTATCTCAGTATTACTCAATTTTTCTTCGATTTTTCAGTTTTACGATTTATGGACTGTTCAGTTTTTAGATATTTGAGTTTTAGGATTTTTCAATTTTTTCAATTTTTATTTTAATTTTTGTTTTCTTAAATTTTAGATTTTTCGATTTCTCGTTTTTTCATTTTTCAGATTTAACAATATTTCGATTTCTAGATTTATTGATATTTCCATATTTGCCGATTTTTCGATTTTGTAACTTTTTTTAAACGTGAATTTTTATATTTTTCAAATTTTAATTCTTCGATTTTTAGATTTCTAGATTTTTAAATTTTTTGACTTCGAATTTTCGATTTCTTGATCTTTTGATGTTTCGATTTATAGATGTTTCAATTTTTCAATTTTTCGTTGTGTTGATTTCTCGATTTCTCGGCTTTTCGATTTTACAACTTTTTGATTTTTCTATTTTTCAAATTTTCAATTTTCGATTTTTTGACTTTCGTCTTTTAGATATTCCGATTTTTCGGTATTTCGTTTTTCCCATTTTTCAATTTCTCAATATTTCGATGTTGCGGTTTCTCGACTCCCCGATTGTCCGATTTTCAGATTTTCAATTCTTTCTCGACTTTTCGTTAGGATTTTTCAAATTTTCGATTCTTCAGTTTATTGGTTTTTAAAATTTTAGATTCCTTGATTTTTTTATATTTTAATTTCTCAATTTTTCCGATATTTCCGTTTACGGTTTTTCACTTTTTCGATTTTTCAATATTTCAATTTTTGATTTTTCGACAAATCGATTTCTCGATTTTTTGACATCTCGATTTTTCGCTATTTTTTTTTTCATTTCTCGTATCTCAATTTTTCGATGTTGCGATTTTTCGAATTCTCGATTTTTCGATTTTCAAATTTTCAATTCTTTCTCGACTTTTGGTTTTCCCGAGTTTTCAATTTTTCAGTATCTCAGTGTTATTAAATTTTT